TTTGTTTTCAGATTTGTCGTTGTGTTTTCTGACTTGTTCATTTGTTTTCAGATTTGTCGTTGTGTTTTCTGACTTGTTCATTTGTTTTCAGAATTGTGATTTGTTCTGCACTTCTCGGCCACCGTACGGCCATGATGTCCGTCACCTTTAACTGCAGCACATACATGGACACATTGTATTTCAGGTTCATATCACACAAAGTTCTAGCAGCAGTGAACTCAAGCTCATTTCTCATTCAGTCCTTCTGTATTATGTATCCATTATTCATGGTTTTACAACAGAGGTCTTGATGGTTGCATTAAGAATTCTTTGTATGTATTTATTTGAATTTCTTTCACCTTTCCTCTCCTTCCTGTTTTTTCTCCCACCTGTTCCTATAGAAGCAGCTGTGAATAACTGATGTGAACAGTTTGGCACCTTTCCTAGATGCATGTGAGCCCAATTTGACACTATATGTCACTTTATAAAATTATATATGCATTCAAGCAAATACCATTTGCTATACATATATCAGAAACTGTGTTTTTGATGTATTTATGGGGACCACAAATGATTCCTAGACATGGTGAGACCTTTTCATTATAGGGTAACAAACTGGAACCCAGTCAAGGCCTCTAAATTGCGGTTAAGAGTCTAACCAACATTGTTTTGGTGAGGTGTATGCTGTCCTGATGTTTTAGCGATGTTTGTGCACCTGAATGAAACGAAAACATAAATACATCACAGGTTGCACATTGCTGTTTAAAGTGCACAGGGATGTTAATTTGCACATTTCGAACAGCATCTGAATATTGATGCTACATTAGCAGCAGGTGGCAAACTATCCTCACCATTTGGTGAATACAAATAAGGATGTACACATTCAAGAGGACCAAATGTAGTATAAGAATCAACCACTGGAAAAACACACGTGTCAGCCACTAATATGAATTTTGCCACTCACATATGCTCGTTACATCCTGAATATAAATTTCTATGTTCATATATCAGTATGTTATTAAAATATTGAAAGAATAACTTTTTTTTATTTAGTAATAACATATGATTCGTGTGTGATATGTTCTGAAAAACTATAAATGGGGAAAAAAATGTACATTAAAAAAATTATTTTAAATTTGGCTTCCACTGCACTGTATATATATTCTGTATGGGGGGGTCCTTTTTCATTCAGAAGCCAAAACTAATATCGAACATCTGAAGAAAATGTTCAAAAGGACTGTATAGTGTAGATGCAATTCTGTGAAAAAATAAAGCAGAGCGATTACCATAATATATTTCTGTATACATTTATACAGACAAAAAACAACTTATAAAATGAGAAAAATTTAAATAAGAAATTAGACCAGAGTAACAAAATAATTGGAGAACACTAACACTTCACTGTGCAACCTGTTTTTAATTGAGTAAACCAAGAGAGTGACCTTCGCTCAATGTGTTTTGTTATTCTTGTGGCTGAACTTGGGTCTTGCAACGGTTGGCTGGCCATGTGTGAAGACAGAGATCCAGTTTGCTGTTTGGCAGGTTGGAGTTCAGATAATACCATGTTGGAGATCTGTAAATGTCTGTTCTTGGCTACTCAACTACATTCATTCACGTTCTTGTGTAATTCAAGATTCGTCGGTGGCTCTCAGAAGAACTTCTCAACAGTTCACACTAGTCACGCTGGGATTCCTCAAGGTCTGTCATGAGGTCAGGCTGACATTGAATCTGTTTTGGGCAACCTCAGAGATGCAACTTAATTTATCGTTATACTGATCATTCATGATTTTATTTATTTAGGCTAGATATTTTATTTTGATCATAACATTCCTAATGCTGTGAGATCATTAGTTTGTTTGTCATATTTTATTAGACGAGCAAGTAAAAAGGCTTCTGATTGGATTAAGCGCATAGACTCTTCATTCCTTTGCGTAATTAGATTTGATTGCTTTTAATTAAAGCGCTGATCTTGAGTGACAGGGCACGCGTCATCATCACTTAAGCACACAGGTAATGATTCTAGAACGTTTGGCATCAAAATTATCAAGAGAAATTAATTGATGTATTTTAGATGATAGACTCAGTTTATGTCTCCGTCGTTTTTCGACGTGGTCACAGCTTTACTTAATCGGTGTTGTTAATTTATTTGTGTCTTTTTTCTTTTCTACTATGTAAGGTGTGCAGATTGCAGAACGAACTAATAACACATTTCCCAGAAACACTCCTCCGCAGATACATATGTGGGTCAAATGGAAACAAAAACAATCCCCGTATTCAGTCTCGACAGCAGAGGGAATTCTAAATGATAAGTCTGTGTAATAAAATTTATGGTGAGCACATCAAAAAATCAAAGCTTGCCTTAGAGAATATGCGGCCAGTAATAAAATCAGTTATACGTGATATTACCTTCATGCGACAGCGCCTGCCTTCCCCATTGCGCATATTACCTTTGTAGAAATCTAATAAATATACATGTAATGGATTCAAAGCGCGATATTGAAATATAACATGGGCATTTGTCGCTATTTACGCGCAGTGAGGCAAAACAGAATGTGCCTTTAAATTTTCTCTCATGCTGGGAATTGAAATATCGAATAAAATAAAATAATTGTCAGGAAAAGCCATAAACCGTCCGCTCGAGAGCCTCGTCGTCCCTTCAGACACTGTCACCATGGCGACGCGGCCTCGTCTCAGTTTCATAATCATTTGTATTTATGGGTGGGAAAGATCATTATTGTCATTTCAGATAGAGGGGCATCCACGTGCAATTTCATTTTCCAATTTCTCCAAGGCCAGTGATATCAGATTACGACCATCACCTGCCTCTTGTTGTGATGCAGCTGGACCCAACAGCCCCCACCAGCAGCGGTAATACAAACAAATGTACCTACTGATGAATATACTGTTATGTGAATCAGTGCAAGCGACTGAGCCTTTTCAGAGCACGCGCGGAAACAATGCAGACCGTTTGAATTAAGACAGCAGACACGTGCGTTTTTCTCGTGTCAATGCAGATTCTGGTATATTTGAAAATGGCCGATTATAGCATTTATTGTATTTCCAGAGTTATATTTATCCCTCCTTGCACGCCGCAGTTGTCACCAGTGCTGTTAACAGGAACAGAAAAGCCGCGCGTAAAGGCCGTTGCCATCACCAGAGCACCTGTGTTTATTGACCGGAGAGCGACTGATCTGTTTATGCATTTCTGGATTTTTATAAACTTGCAAACTGCCAAGGAGTCAATTAACAAAAAAACATGTGGTATAGCCTTTCATCGCCTCCCAATCCGGCATGATATGTCCGGCCTGCAGCGCATATCGAGTCTCAGGCCTGTCCGTGCTCCTTTACGCGCCGTGACACTTGTGGTGTAATGCAGACATGCAATTCAAGCTGACGGAGAAAATAGTTGGAAAAAGATAAACCTATTTCAGACAGTCATCGTGACTTGTGCATTATGACTAATAAGTGGCTCTGGTTTCTTTGGATGACGCTGGGAGAAAGGCACCAAAATAATTGCAATTTTTTAACTACTATTGTAAATTTAGTACAATTTAATGCAAATAACTTGAAAATTAAAAGACCGTCTTAGAGGTGTTTGATGCAAATGCAGTTTTTTTTCTATATATATATATAGAAATAAATAACTATCATCCTAAGTGTGTGTGTGTGTGTGTGTGTGTGTGTTTTATATTTTGTAATGTTTATAGATACTTAAATGTACAGTATTAAACATACATATAATTTCGTTTAAAAATCTGAAATATGTCCTGCGTTACCTCGTATCCAACGCAATTCAAAGGCACGGAGGAGATCAAATATAATAAATATAATATAATAAACGAGTGGCCCAAAGTGACTATGAGTAAAATTGATAAGCATATTTACAAAAGAGCTTTTGCAGTTGACATATCATTCTCTCATTTGAATAATTAATGAGAATAGAGCGGAATTCTGAATATTTAATGCGCAGAAATCCATATTCTTCTTCATTTTCATCTCACTATGAGTGACGTCATTTGAAGAAGACGCGAACTGACCAAATAGAAAACCGAGGAGGATGTTACGACTACAGACGAGACGCAAATAATGTGATGCATACATTTTCTTATTCATTATTTGGAATGTATTTACTAAAATATGCATTCAAATTCCATATTAAATGATGTACATTAAAACGTATATATTAAAAGAGCATTAATATAATATAATTGTTTCATTTCCTGTAATAAAGCACAGGCAAGGCTATTTTTCAGAAACACTTTGTGTGTGTGTGTGTGTGTGTGTGTGTGTGTGTGTGTGTCCCACTTGGAAATGTTATCCAAAATCGTCCTCTGTTGGATCTCTATTGGTATTAGTTTGCGTAGATTAAAACGATTTGTCAACATGCCATTACGCATTACTACTGGCTGTGGCAACATTTAGCTCCCTGCAACCACTGTATCATGATTCATTTGTCCTAAAGGCCCAGAGAGACAGTAGCTCAAGAATAAAGTCGTGACTTGGTGTCATAAAACCATTTCACAAGAAACTGTGATTTTGAAAGCCACTGTGTTTTTATGAGCAATACACACGTATAATATCCACAGGCCGAGATGATGTTGGATCTACTGCGCGCCTGAGTTCAGTGCAACATCATGGCCTCTCAAATCAAATGAATTATTGTGCTGGTTTAAAAGATTGTCTAGTGTTACTCCTCAATTTTCAGATGTGTCGAGGGGTAAAGCTAGTGGAGTGTTTAAAGGATTTCCGATATTAATTCAAGCACAATGCAGAGATGTTAGACATCAGATGTGTTTTAGCAGAGAAAAAGGAAAAACGTTCAATTAAATATAAACACCTAATAATGGCAATAAAAAAAGAATCCTCTAGACTTAAAAAAAAATCAATAATAATACATTTTAATTAAAATCCGTTTGGTTCTAAAAACATAATCTTAAATTATATGGGCCTATTAAATATATTTCTACATATACAGAATGATTATAGGCTATATGCCATTATATATTACTGAATATTACGTCAAATGAATCGCTTGTTGTATTCCTTAGTTTTAAGTTGCTTTGAATAAAAGCTTCTACTAAATAAATAAATGTAAATGCAAAAGACCGTTGTAAATTAATTAAAATACTATTTCTTTAAAATACGGCACGGAGTCAAAACATATTTTAGTAGAAATGGGGGCCTGGGAAATAAGAGGTTTTAGTTTTAAAATTCTTTATAGCTTACAATAATGATATAACATTTAGTCTTGTAATCTTGAGACGTATTTTTTTCTATTTTAAAAGTAACAGTGCAAGTAATTTCAGTACAAAACATACCGTAGCAGTTTATTATTATTATATATATATATATATATATATATATATATATATATAGGCCTATTTTTTTTTTGTTTGTTTCTATTAATTGGACTGCTGCTGCTTTTACAACGTCTGCAATTTTTTTTATCGTCTTAATTTAGCCTATAAGAAAATCACTGCGAAATCTGCCATTTACATTTAATCTGCAATTTAAAAAAAAATCTTTAGGCTACGTAAAAAACGTTCCGAGCTAATAAAGCAATTTTCTCATTGTTAGCAGATAACATTGGCCTTAAAAGTCAGCAACAAATGAATCGTCCGTTTTTGTTGATGTTGGTCATAACCATACCCTTTTTTCTAACATAAGCAAGACTAGCCTACTTTTGGCAGTGCTGTAAATATTTTCAAGTCTTACCGGTCAGCCGATCTTTGGCAAATCTTCTGCTGCTCTCCATCCAGGGGAACGTGAAGCTGGCGGGGCTGCCCATGCTGGGGAGCGTGGGCATGGTGGGTATCCCCGCCGCGATGCCCGGTGGATGGGCAGAAGTCGGCGGGTGAGGTGCGGGTGGCATGGGTCTGTGGGCCGGGACGCGGATGACACCACCTGCGTTCCCTGAGTTCACGTTAACGTTCATATTCATGCTCACATTCATGTTCATGTTTACGTTGTAGGAATTTGCCAGTCCCGCCGCCATCGAACAGGCCGGATTGTACACGCTGTTGTAGCCGTTGGCATAGACGTTCGGCGCGAGCGCGTAGTCCGGGTCGCCGGTTCTGTTCGGCAGCATGCAACTACTCGGTTGGTCCGAGCCATTGAGAATCTGATCTATTCCAAAGCTGATGGGTTCGTGCTGCTGGTGCGTCTGGTTCACCTCTTCGATCCCCGTGTGCTCCATCGTCGCGGTACTTTCTGTTGCGCACAGCTTGGACGGTTGTGATGTTTAATTCCTAAAACTTCAACGCAACACGATTTATTCCCAAAGGTACAGAATTAATTTTTAACAAACAAATATTCTTCCTTGAAGTGCTCAGAGCCCACGCAATTTTATATCGCTGCCATCTGATGAACAAAAACAGTGAAGAACAGAAATCACATTGATTCCTTCACGATTAATTCAGCATTATCCAACACTTTCTTGCATTGCGTCTGGCTCTTTTTCAGTTCCATGATGATGCCTAAAAAGCAACTCGACAGTAGAAAGGGCTCCGCGCTCACTGTTAAATCCCGAAGTGACGATGAGTTGCCAAGTTGTAGCAAACAAACCGGACGCGTTTCTGGAGGGGTGCCGTACCTCAGAAAGGCGCACGGCCCAGACTTGAGCTCATCACTGTTATCTAAAGTGAAGTGTTAACTGTCCGATACGTGCATATTAATTGTCGTGAGCTGAAAAAGTCCTGTTCACGCTTCTCTTGAAGTGATTTCGAGCAGGTGAGACAAACCCCTTCTGCCCAAACTCTGTCACGCGCCTCTCCATTGGCTCTTGCGCACTTCTGTAGAGACAATGCCTCGCGCCCGCACCCCTCTCTTAAAGAAGCCGCTTCTGTTTTTCACCAGGGCTGTTGTGTTGTCGTCCACGTTAAAAAATAAAATGTTTATTAGATGCACCAAATGTAAGTAGATGTGACATAAGTAGTTTGAAATCAAATATTTTATTGTTATTATTATTACTATTTTAAGAATAATCAGTGAAGTTTTGTTTTCGTGTTTTAAAAACATTAATATTGAGTTGCCAAGTTGTAGCAAACAAACCGGACGCGTTTCTGGAGGGGTGCCGTACCTCAGAAAGGCGCACGGCCCAGACTTGAGCTCATCACTGTTATCTAAAGTGAAGTGTTAACTGTCCGATACGTGCATATTAATTGTCGTGAGCTGAAAAAGTCCTGTTCACGCTTCTCTTGAAGTGATTTCGAGCAGGTGAGACAAACCCCTTCTGCCCAAACTCTGTCACGCGCCTCTCCATTGGCTCTTGCGCACTTCTGTAGAGACAATGCCTCGCGCCCGCACCCCTCTCTTAAAGAAGCCGCTCCTGTTTTTCACCAGGGCTGTTGTGTTGTCGTCCACGTTAAAAAATAAAATGTTTATTAGATGCACCAAATGTAAGTAGATGTGACATAAGTAGTTTGAAATCAAATATTTTATTGTTATTATTATTATTATTATTATTTTAAGAATAATCAGTGAAGTTTTGTTTTCGTGTTTTAAAAACATTAATATTTTGGAGAGAAAAAAACATTTGTATGCCAAATTTAAGTCAGTGTGGTGTAACCAACTTGCAGGCTATTTGTTGTCATGTGACAGGAAAACACTGTCATGACTTGTGAGCCCATGTCAATTTTATCACATACAATATCACATTTTGACCTTTTTATGAAAAGTAATATTGACTAAGAAAACGTATTGATAATCATGATATCTATTTAGTATTTATATTTTTTGTGTTATTTTCTAAATTCATTATTTTTATATTATACAGTTTACGTTTTTAAAGGTGCTCAATAATAATAATACTTTTTTTTTTACATCCAAACTTTTATGTGATATGGTATGGGGACAGTTTACCTGCCAATTCACCTTACATTGACTCTTTCAATAAAGTGAATTGTCAAGTTAAAATACTAAAAGAATTTGAGCTGGAATGCTATTGACATTGGGTTATAATAATAATTAAAAGCAGGCTTAATTTCTTTAATGTTGTGAAAGATAACACATCAAAATAGCTTGTAAACCACAGGGTTGATGCTGTTAATTATCCCAAGGAATAAAGGCCAAAATGTTTAGATCAATTCAGAAAAAAAGCTCTTCAGGTTTTGTCAAGGATACAGAAACATGCAGCTTTACACATGGCAGTGCGTTTGCTTAATCAAATGAAACTGAATTTCATTGAAGTGCACTAGCCTTTGGCTGCGTGAAATGAAGGGTGAGGCAAGAGAAGCATCAGTGGCCTTTAGAGATGCAGAAGCCAGTTTGATTGGCGCAAATCATTTAACCTTTTTTCGCCCGAAGCTACAGTGGAAGATTCTCCGCTTTCAATTCAATAAAAATGAAAAATGGCGCATAATAAAACCTGAAAGCAAGGAAAACGAATTTAATATATCATCGTTTTATTACGTAGGCTACTTATTTCAGCTTTCGCACGAATAAAAATATTTCTCCGCAGCACAAAGTGGCTAGAGGGAAGCATAAAAATCAATTTTCTGAATACAAAGCTGTATCAATAATAAGCGCTCTTGTGTGTGTCTCAATAGCAGGAACACATGTTGGCTCTCAATGATACCGAATAAAGCTTTTTAGCTGCACGAGGTCGTGTTGTGCAACAACAACATCTCATCGTCAGGCTACAGGCCTATCAAAATGTGGGGTTTTCTCAAACATGAAAAACATGATCGTATATGCTTGCCTTGTATTTCTAATCCTTGATTAAAGACGTTTTTCAGAAATGATGATTAGGCTTCGTTGCTTGGGCAGAGTGATGATCTGAGCCCATCTGAGGTCGACTCATAATGATCAGACAGTCTTCATCACGAGGCAGTAAGAAATTAAGAACGAACTCAATCATAATTAACAGTCAGGATTAACTATTAGTCCCTGTTTTCATTTCATGATTTCGCCCTAATGCCATTTTGTGTTCTGTATGCACATATGCAATTGTAGATCTAATTTCTTGCACATTCGTAGGCTATTCCTCCAGCAGTTATTTTCCCGAAGATTGCTTTATTTTAACCACAGTTATTATCGGACTAAATGAACTGTGCTGAAAATATTTTAATTGCGTTTCTCTCTTGCAGTTATTGAGTTGAATTAAACTCCAGAAGCAAACGGTAGCCCGCGTTCTCGAGTTGTTTTCGTCAGCACTGAATGTTAAATAGCCTACAATTACACTTTCGCGCGGAGGCAAAATATTATCTAATGGTTACTAATTGGTTTAAGTTGTAATTATTTTTAACACTAAGAAGCGCTCAAATTATTGAACCTGACAAACCGCGCCTACCCAACTCTTGTTTCATTTCATTAGGTGCAATGGAGTGTTTATTCTCAAATCCATCCAATTAATGTCCTGTTAAAACATTGCAATGTAGAATCAAGACTCAAATCGCTATTTTCAGATGAGAAAATCTGAAACGCATGCCCGGATATTGGGAAAGCCAATACAAACAAACTTCTAAGAGTCACTAAGTTCTTTTGCTAACTTGTTTTCTGTATATTGTGATTTTGACATAGCTAATTATGTTTTAGGTACTGAAATCGATCGAGCTGCGGTTGCTATGGTTACCCCGCAATGCTAGCTAGGCTAGTTAGCACACCCCGGCTAACATGTCATGTAACTTTTGTAGATACTAAAATGATGTTTGATAGCGTCTGTATCTAAAACGAACCACTTGGTTTTTTAAACCTAATTTAGTTAGTGCCTAAATCTTTCTAAAACGGCCTTCCTGCCGTGGTCTCCGGGTTGAAGGCCTTATATGAAAGCCCTTATAGCTGGTTGCCCGCAGGCGATGTCTTGGCAGGGCTGTTGAGTGTATATAGGGTCATTGATAAATCGGAATCTCCAGGCGGTGCTGATAATAAAGTATAAAGACAAAGCGAAGACAAAAAGAATTAGTCACAGTTCGCTTTTCAACAGACTCGGTGACCCGCCGCCCTCCCGGGTGTAACCTGTTTCAGTGCGCTTTTGGAGATTTGCAAACAACTGCGCTCGTGTTTGCTCAATATGGTGCCACGGGGATTGGAAGGCGATACCAAGCAGCACAGCTCATGACAAATGGCGATTACAACGCTACATAAAGAATGAGATGAGTCAGTAGCAAAGTAGCTACTCACAGACTCTTCTTTTTTTTGCCAGTTATTTACACCGGCTGTCAATCTATGCAAACTGATTTGCATATTGCACATTTTTAGATTTTAAGAGAGAAATAATCAAATAAAAACAACGTGACAAACAGCTATTTAAATGTCTGAACACCTGCCGGCCATGTTCAGTATGAACCCGGCACGTGGGTTTGAAAGGAAAATCCCACCCATCACAGCTGCATCCATCTATAGATTATGAGGATTGACTGTGTAATGCATGTGTTTTTTCACTTTAAAAGCAAGACGATCTTTTACACTTTACTGCTACTGTTAGTTTGGTTTTGCCGTTTTTTAATAAACACTGCAATCTATTGCGAAACAAGCCATATAGGCCTATCTTAATAATATAATTCAGTAATGTATTTATAATTTATTATGAATATAATGTATAATAAAGTGTAAAAATTGTGTTATTATTTGTGTTATTATTATATTGGTATTTTATAAATAATTTGTATTTATAAATATTATACATTATATGTCTAATCAGTTATAAACATAATGCTATTATTAATAATAATATTATTATAGTAGGCTATTATCACTACTATTAATAAAGGGTATAATTTTATTATATTAAATAATGTATTTTATGTTTTGTTATTATTAAATTATTATTATTAAAAATGTAAAACTATTACAAATATATTATACTATAAATGATAAAATAATGCTATTTGCATTAATTAGTCCTATAAAAATAATTGTATTGTTCATACTACTACTGTTATTAATAAATAATATAATTTATATATGATTGTATTTTTTTATAATTATTATTATATTATGTAGGCTATTATTATAACTTAGAAATTGTAAACGTATATTATTATTATTATTAATAGTATTTATTTTTTATGAAGTGTAATGCTCTAAATGGTGACTTCAGGTCTAGAGCTGGTGTCTTTCAACAGAGAAATGGCGGAGCAGCTCTGGCTGATCTCAGCGCCTCTTAGTGTCAGTGCATCCTTTTTTTACCTTCAGCATTTCCTCGTGTGCATCTTGGCCTTGTGCCCCTCAAATGTGTGTGTGTGTGTGTGTGTGCGCGCGCGCGTATTTCCTTATGTGTATGCGCGCGCCGATGTGTGTGTGTGTGTGTGTGTGTGTGTGTGTGCGCGCGCGCGTGTTTGCTTATGTGTATGCGCGCGCCGATGAGCCTGTCAAAGTGGGGATTCGCATCCATTGCACTATTCTCATTCTCCATCCCTCCCATGACTGTTGTGCTTTCTGCTGTAATTAGGTTGAATT